TTTAACTGAATTCATGCAATGAGTGATGTTTTGTCCCATCATGTCTTCTCTTTCAATCACTAGGGCATTTCTGAAACTGAAGCTTTATATTGAACTGTTTGGCTCTGTGCAGTTTAGTTTTCAGCACGGAGGCTGTGTTTTGTGAAGAATGTGCAGTCACAGTATTTGTGGCATTTTACATGAAGCTCTGCTAAATGAAGAAATATGAGGGTATCTGATTTTTACTCGAGAAATACTTTTCCCTTGTATTTATGGATTTTCAGAAATCTATACTAAAAATATTTAAGCTTTGGACTTGGGGCTTGAAAAGAACTTAGCTAAGTAAACACTCCTTGTTTTCACTTTGGAAATATGTATTTTAGAAATCCCAGATTATTGTGCATTGAAAGTAGTGTGATCAGCTTCTAAAGATCAAAATATAGCCCTTGGCTAAAGTGATGTTGGGAGTTTCCTTTTCATAAGCAAGAACTCTGGATAATAGCAGTTTTTAGATGAAATGTTGTTAGTAGCTTTTCTCTTTCCCTGAACTGTAGTGTTGTTTTTGGATAGAGTCAAAGCCTTAAGAAGATCATGATATTTTTCTAGTAAAACCTGAGTTCACAGTTCCTAGGTACACTATAATAGGGTTCATACTGTTTCCTACAAAGTGGACTATTTCTAATCAAAAGAATGTGTTGGAGAGTTCTAATTATAGTATTTTGCTATTAGCCAAGTTTACAGAGTAAACACTGAATTTGAAAAGATTTCAACTATGAATGTCATCCAGGAAGTTTATTCCAGCTGCGCCATGTCCCATGAGGACTTGGTGGGTGGATTGTGGAAGGTGGTTGGCGTGATTGGGAGTCTAGTGTGAGGGATGTGTGGTGGTGGCAGGAGCTGTGACCAGGTAGCCCTGGATAGAGAAAGCCACTGAGATCTTTTATGTTGGGCATTTTCTTTACGGCTGGACAGATGGCAGTCTGGTGGCCTTTTCTTCATCTGCTGGTTTGAGTCTTCCTAGTTGTCTCAGGAGCACAGAAAGCGTTGCTGTGTGTTAACCACACATGTGCTTCCTGATTTGGTCACAGAGCTCAGTGGCAACACTGTCTCCTCTCCTACTGCTCAGCCCCTGGAGAGTGACAGGGATCTGACCTTGGCTTCTTTTTCCTCTCTGAGGTCTCTTCTTCTGTGATCTCAGTTGCATGGTCCTAAATATTATCATCCATTGTCTTTCAATTTATATCTGCATATTGGGCCTCTCCCACCTGTCTTTCACTGGATACCCTGTTTGTGTTTCCAGTTGATGTTGTGTAAAACTGAACTCCTGTTCTAAGTCCCTGCAACCTCATACTCCCACAGAGTTCCCCTTTCAGTACCTGGCTGCTGAATTCTCGCTGCTGGGCAACCCTCCCCTTCATGAACTCGCTCCTGTATTATTGCAGGTTTGTCTCCCTCCAGCTTTTACCCTTGCTGCCCTGCCTTTGGCTTCTGCATACAGCTACCGGAATGACTTTGTCCCACGCTTAATTTCAGACCCTCGAGTACTTTCTTATTGTATTTCTGTTAAAAATCTGAAATCCTAAACATCGCCTTTTATTCATTAGTCCATTTCAGTCTTTACCAAATAGTTGAGTAAGTAGAGGGATCGTGTGGCATGTCTGTGTAGCCCAATTGTAGGCTTGCATGTAGTGATTGCCTTCTGGAGACTCCTGTACTGAGCGGAAGGGAACAGGTAACTTGACGGTGGAGAAACCTGACAGACACTGCTACTACAGTCAGGGGAGCAAGTCAGTGTCTAAGTGACTCATGTTGATTATATCCCTAGCTAGGATGGGGTAGAAATTGACTCTACCCCTCTTTCCTTCCCAAGACACAGCACTGTAATCCTGAGAAAGGAGACAGGTTCCAGTTGAGGCTTGTTTTGTAGGAGGGAGACTTTACAGAATACCTTGTTAATACTTCTCAGCATGGGTAAGCTTACTAAAACTAGGAGAAATCTCTGGAATTTACAATCTAGAGGAGTCTTAAGGAGTTGATTATATATCTATATAGGTTTATTAGTTTTGACAAATATATGATGATACCAGTGGGTTAACAATGGGGGAGACATCTTTGCAACTTTCTGCAAATCTAAAACTAATCTAAGATTAGTGATTTGGTTTAAAAAGGACACCCCTTCTTCATTGCTTCCTGATTGTCCTTGCCTTTTGCTGTCCTGATGACTCTCTTCTTTACTGTTCTTCCCCTTTCCAGCCATGGTGGTCTCTTTCCTGCTTCTCCAGCCCACTGCTTCTCCACCAGGGGTGATTTTTAGCTCTAGGAGACATTTGGCAATGACTGGAGACACTTTTAGTTGGCACAACTGGGGATGCAAAGAGGATGTTACATGGCTTGGGTGGGTGGAAACCAGGAATAATGGTACATATCCTCCAGTGCTCCAAAGAATCTTGAAAGAATCTACTTTGAAGATTGATGGTGCGACGATTGAAAAACCTTGGTTTTGGGGATTTGGGGTTCTATATCTGTCCAGATTCCTGACCACAGCCTCCTGTCCTGCTTCATTTTTCTCCTTCAGCATTTCATCCTCTGAACTCCTGTTCTCAACCCCTGCAACCTCATCCTTCCACAGGCTTCCTTTCCTTTTCAGTACCTAGCAGCTGCTGCCTTCTCATGACCTCCCCCTGTGTTGTTGCAGGTTTCTCTTCCTCTGGCTTTTGCTCTTGCTACCCTACATTTGGCTTTTCCATGTGGATACCAGGCTGATCTTTCCCACACTGACACACTGTCAGTGTGTGTGCATCTCACCAGGATTCATTGACAATTTAGTTCACTTTTGAATCTCCAACTTTTAGAACTATGCTGTACATGGTAGGTGCTCTTCAAGTGTTCGTTGAAGAAATTAAGTAATTGATGAAAGAAGTGAGTGAATGACGAATGTAACATCTGCTTAGGCCAAAAATTTAGATAGCAAAGTACAAATGTAAAAATTTTTCAGCCTGCCTGTTACATATTCGTGTCCTCTGGAAAGAAACCCTTATTAATGGTTTTGTCTGTTCAGATTTTCCTATCCATGGTTAACCAGATCCAAGTATTGTAACATGTGCACCCTACTTGCACTGCTTGCAGTAAAATTTTGATATAATAACTTATTGTGAATTGGACAATAGTAATAATGTTCCTGAGAATGTGATCTGTTGCCCAAAACAAAAAGCAATGCTTGTTTAAAATCGTCTTTACAAACTTCTTTTAAGGATGGACTTGCACATATTTTGTTTGTAAATGATTTATAATTGGAAACTTTGTCTTCTATAGTCTTTAACTGTATTATCTAGCATTGCTCAGTGATAGCAGGTTCTTCATGCCTGTTGGCTGAATAGAATTCAAATTTTTCCTTGTTAGCATTTTCAGATCATTTTAAAATATTCAAATTTTCTTGACTATTAGAACTGTTGACCAGATTGAGGCATTTATAGATGTAGTTTTGGGAGAAAATTTAATTTTAAATGTAAATTGTTTTCCAGTAGGCCTCATATATGTCCAATTTCCTGATTTTTATCTGCCGAGGAGGAAGCAATGATAGCTAAAGAACAAGTTAGGGGCCCAAATTGAATGTGATTCAATATCAATTAAGCTTCTAATTGCTTTAAGCATATCAGGTTTTTTCTTCTCTTTCCCCCCTACCCCCACTAATGAAATGACTAATGGAGCAAAGTTGGCAGTAGCTGAGTTAAGATATTGTAAATTAATGTTGCCATTCTAATTTCAACCTGGCTGTTAAACCAGCCCTCCAGTCTGCTGTTTCCTTCACCTTTGGTGGCTTTCACATTCAGTGCATATTAATCTGAGAGTTACTTGTGCAAGGGTATGGTGCTGTCCTCTGCTGACACAGGCTGGGGGTTTGTAAAGCTGTGGTTGATTTAAACGATGAAGTGGTTGGCCTCAGAACAATTTGGCTGAAAGTAATTGTCCTCCTGTTCTTCCGGCCAGGCCTCGGCCCAGTGGACTTTGTCTAACATCCCACACGTTAAAGGAATATTGCTCTCAATTTCTTTGCTTCCTAAGCCTCCCTCTGACCTTCCTGTAGCATCTGCCTCTTTTCTATAGTGGTTTGATGCTTTGTGTGTGCTAACTTAATGGTTTAACTTTTGTGTGTGTCTCTCTCTTCTGATGGGAATGGGTGACAAATACTGGGTGATAAGTCGTCCTGTGTCCTAAAGACAGATGGTTGTTGATAGCAGAGGTAGAAAACACTGATATAATTGGTATACTTTGCCGCCTGACTGAGGACTTCTAGTTTTTCTATTGTAAAATGGTATGTTTTGAGAGAAGGGGTTCATATTGATGTTTAAGTAGTTATCTCACTGTCAGACTTAATGATAGGCTTATTTTAATTCTTTCAGATAGTTATATCAAGTTGCTAACAAGACAGCAAACTGCATACAAAAAGTAAGCGTAATCATTCTTATAAAGAAATAATAAAAATTGTGGGATACATTTTGAAGTGAGATTCCAAGTTTTCATTGCAGGGGGGGGTCACATAAAAATGACTGAGTTTATTTTCCCAAGTTTTGTGGGAGAGTTGCGAGTTACATGTTCTGAGATGCTTTGTTCTTAGATCCTTTGGAAGCTCACCACACAGTAGTAGTATTAACTGTAAGCTTTTGAGCATTTCATTGTAAACAAGATCCTAATCTATAGCTCTTTAACAGTTGCCATGTTTACTTTGAAAATTTGTGTAAGAAAAATACAATTTACAGTGTCAGGCTTTGATATTCATATATGGAAAATAGGAACTTGAATCATTAACAAAAAAGGATTGTGTTAAATTTAGTAATTCTGGATAAGTTACAAAGCACTGATACTTAGTATTGGAAACCAGAGGGGGAAAAAACCCTAACCATTGCATCTATTTACATTCGATCTAGATGGAAAAGGCATTATGAAAATACAAAGTTTGAAGCAGTTTATTCTTTTTTTCTTTTCCCCAGGGTAATAATTCTTATTTTTCTCTTCTGTTTTAGACTCCTGAGAGTTGAACAATGGGGAGGCATTTGGCCTCGCTTCTGCTTCTGCTCCTCCTTCTCCAACATTTTGGAGACAGTGATGGAAGCCAAAGATTTGAAGAGACTCCTCTACAGTTTACACATTTCCAGTACAATGTCACTGTGCATGAGAACTCTGCGGCTAAAACCTATGTTGGGCATCCTGTAAAGATGGGTATTTACATGACAAATCCTTTGTGGGAACTACGGTACAAAATTGTTTCAGGAGACAATGAAAACCTATTCAAAGCTGAAGAGTACATTCTTGGAGACTTTTGCTTTCTAAGAATAAGGACCAAAGGAGGAAATACAGCTATTCTTAATAGAGAAGTGAAAGACCATTATAATTTGATTGTCAAAGCTGTTGAAAAAAATACCAATGCTGAAACACGGACAAAAGTTAGGGTACAAGTGCTGGATACAAATGACTTGAGACCGTTATTCTCACCCACGTCCTACAGTGTTTCTTTACCTGAAAACACAGCTATAAGGACCAGTATTGCAAGAGTCAGTGCCACTGATGCAGACATAGGAACTAATGGAGAATTTTACTATAGTTTTAAAGATCGAACTGACATGTTTGCTATTCACCCAACCAGCGGGGCTATAGTTTTAACTGGTAGACTTGATTATGTAGAGACCAAGCTCTATGAGATGGAAATACTTGCTGTGGACCGAGGAATGAAATTGTATGGTAGTAGTGGTATCAGCAGCATGGCCAAACTAACAGTTCACGTAGAACAGGCTAATGAATGTGCTCCTGTGATAACAGCAGTGACATTATCACCATCAGAACTGGACAGTGACCCTACATATGCAATTGTAAGAGTGGATGACTGTGATCAGGGTGCCAATGGGGAGATAGCTTCTTTAAGTATTGTGGCAGGTGACCTTCTCCAGCAGTTTAAAACAGTGAGATCCTATCCTGGGAGTAGAGAATATAAAGTCAAAGCTGCAGGTGGTGTTGACTGGGACAGTCATCCCTATGGCTACAATCTGACATTGCAGGCTAAAGATAAAGGAACTCCTCCCCAGTTCTCTTCTGTAAAGGTAATTCATGTGACTTCTCCACAGTTCAGAGCTGGGCCAGTCAAGTTTGAAAAGGATGTTTACAGAGCAGAGATAAGTGAATTTGCTCCACCCAACACACCTGTGGTCCTGGTAAAAGCAATCCCTAGTTATTCACATTTGAGATATGTTTTTAAAAGTACACCTGGAAAAACTAAATTCAGTTTAAATCACAATACTGGTCTGATATCCATTTTGGATCCAATTAGAAGACAGCAGGGTTCCCATTTTGAACTTGAGATAACGACAAGTGACAGAAAAGCCTCCACCAAAGTTTTGGTTAAAGTCTTAGGTGCAAATAGCAACCCCCCTGAATTTACCCAGACAGCCTACAAAGCATCCTTTGATGAGAATGCACCTGTTGGTACCACAGTCATGAGTGTCAGTGCTGTAGACCCTGATGAAGGTGAGAATGGGTACGTGACTTACAGCATTGCCAATTTAAATCATGTGCCTTTTGTGATTGACCATTTCACTGGTGCTGTGAGTACTTCTGAAAACTTGGACTATGAACTGATGCCCCGAGTTTATACCCTACGGATTCGCGCATCAGACTGGGGCTTGCCATACCGCCGAGAAGTTGAAGTCCTTGCTACAATTACTCTGAATAATCTAAATGACAACACACCCTTGTTTGAGAAAATAAATTGTGAAGGAACAATTCCCAGGGATCTAGGTGTGGGAGATCAGATCACGACTGTTTCTGCTATTGATGCTGATGAACTCCAGTTGGTACGATACCAGATTGAAGCTGGAAATGAACTAAATTTGTTTAGTTTAAACCCCAACTCGGGAGTTTTATCATTAAAGCAGTCACTAATGGATGGCTTAGGTGCAAAGGTATCTTTCCACAGTCTGAGAATTACAGCTACAGATGGAGAAAATGTTGCCACACCATTATATATCAACCTAACTGTGACCGCCGGTCGTAAGCTAGTAAACTTGCAGTGTGAAGAGACTGGTGTTGCCAAAATGCTGGCAGAAAAACTCCTGCAGGCAAATAAATTACACAACCAAGGGGAAGCGGAGGATGTTTTCTTTGACTCTCACTCTGTCAATGCTCACGCACCGCAGTTTAGAAGTGCCCTTCCAGCTGCTGTAAAGGTAAAGGAAAATCAGCCCGTGAGTTCCAGCATAATTTCCATGAATGCCACTGACCTTGACTCCGGATTCAATGGGAAACTGGTCTATGCTATTTCTGGAGGAAATGAAGATAGCTGCTTCATTATTGACATGGAAACAGGAATGCTGAAAATTTTATCTCCACTTGACCATGAAACAACAGACAAATATACCCTGAATATCACCGTGTATGACCTTGGTATACCACAAAAGGCTGCTTGGCATCTTCTAGATGTCATAGTTCTGGATGCCAATGATAATCCACCTGAATTTTTACAGGAGAGCTATTTTGTTGAAATAAGTGAAGACAAAGAGGTTGACAGTGAAATCATTCAGGTTGAAGCCACCGATAAAGATCTAGGACCTAATGGACACGTGACATACTCTATTCTTACAGACACGGACAAGTTTTCAATTGACAGCGCAACTGGTGTTGTTAAAGTTGTGCACCCTTTGGATCGTGAAGTACAACATGTGCACTACTTGAAGATTGAGGCACGGGATCAAGCTAGAGAAGAACCCCAGCTGTTTTCTACTGTGCTTCTGAAAGTGTCGCTAGAAGATGTTAATGACAACCCACCCAAGTTTATTCCACCTAATTATCGTGTGAAAGTTCGAGAGGATCTTCCAGAAGGAACCATAATCATGTGGTTAGAAGCCTATGATCCTGATCTAGGTCAGTCCAGCCAGGTGAGATACACTCTTTTGGACCATGGAGAAGGACACTTTGATGTGGATAAGCTCAGTGGAGCAGTTAGAATTGTACAGCAGCTGGACTTTGAAAAGAGGCAAGTCTACAACCTCACCGTGAGGGCCAAAGACAAAGGAAAACCAGTTTCTCTGTCTTCCACCTGCTTTGTTGAAGTTGAGGTAATTGATGTGAATGAGAACTTGCACCGACCAGTGTTTCCTAGTTTTGTGGAAAAAGGTGTAGTGAAAGAAGATGTCCCTCTTGGCTCATCAGTGATGACTGTGTCAGCTCATGATGAAGACACAGGAAGAGATGGGGAGATCCGCTACTCCATTAGAGATGGCTCTGGTGTTGGTGTTTTCAAGATAGATGAAGAAACAGGTATGCTTTTTATTTCTCTGGTTAATGCTGCTCCTTCCCTTTTTTGGGGGTATGTGTGTATATGTTTTGTTTTGTTTTGTTTTACAAACCCATCCTGTGTAGTTCATTGAGGTACAGTGTAGAAACACGCATGCCTATTTTTTGTCCTGTGGCTATATGAAAATGTGTTTGTGGTTTGGAAGCCATGAAGATGATACCAGAGGAGTAGAAGTGGTGAAGAAGGCATATAAAATATATAAAATAACAGGGGAAAACTGAAATAATTCCCACGGGTGCTAACCTCTGGGTTTGTACTTTATATTAGAAGCACCGCTGTGGTTGGATAAGTCCTGACATTCTTCAAGCTGGATGATTGGCAAACTCATGCTTTGAACAGTCACGACGATCACCTGGCATGCCATCCAGGGGTTATTGCACACCTGCAAAATTAGGCAATGCACACAGAGAAGATTATTTTCTCAGACTTCTGTAATATGATCTGTTTAACTTTGCTGCTCCTTCAGGTTTTGAGAGGCAGATGCAGGGTAGAGGAATGTGCAAACTCAGAAACTCTGACTTGGAATTCTGGCTCTTTGAGTTGTTAATTCATGATCTTGGATGAAAACAATACTTCTTAAAACTAGCTTTCTTTATAAATGGAGACACTCAAAATTACACTAAGATATATGCGACTATAAAGTGAGCTAACAGGAAAGCTCCTGGCATTTGTTGTATTATTAACACCTTTTGGAAATAGTAGTACTACTTTGTTATGATCTTTCAGCTAGAATAAAGTTGTAAAACCAGGCACTCCCAGACCACCAATCATGCTAGAATATGTGTTGTTTCTTGCTTTCTGTGTATATCTTATGCTAGCTGAACAGATAATCTTGTTATATATCACTTTGCTTGATGGGTTGTGAGCGTTCCAGGACAGGCTTTTAGCTCATGCATCATTTCTTTTCAGCACCTAGTGAAAAGTGGATGGCACATCAAACATTACCGCTTCACAATAAATGTTAAAAGAAAAAGATGGATTAATTAATATGAGTTTGTCTTGGCCTCTGATATTGGCAGTGGTAATATTTGTAGACGGAAACTGGACAGTCTGAACACTAATTGGCTCAGTATGTTTATCAGTCTCACTGATTTTCCTTTATAAGGCTTATCAATTCCAAAAGAGACCTTTAGAATTAAAGGAGCTCTTGATGTATTTGGTAGTAACACACACCAAAGTTTTAGGTTAACACCCACCTGAGTGTCAAAATCTACAACCAGTGGGTGCATAGCACATGAAAAATAAGTCATTTGGAAGGGTATTTTAAAAATTGAGTTTTTATTAACTTAAGGTATTTCTTTTTGATTATATTATCACTAACAAATAAAATATATTAAATCTGCAACTTATATTGCATACCTTAAATACCCATAATTAGCTTAGTTCATGAGAAAGTAACAAATTTAGTTTCCTCTTATTTGAGTAAAATGTCTTTTGCTTTTTTGTTTCAGTTGTTAGTGTCCAACATAACTAAGAATTTTCAGGGATAGTGTCAACACTGGAAAAAAAAAGTTAATGACTGAAGCTAAAACTATGCTATTTTTATAAATTTTCTAGGAATAATTTTTCCTGCTGCTTTTTTCTACTCTGTTCCAAAGTAGGTTTTAAAGGCTTATAAAAAGCTGTTACAAGTTAGACGTGAGACAGAAAATAGAACCAAAATGTTAATTTACATTCCCTTCATGACAATTACTTGAACACTCCTTCGGGTTTTTTTCTTTCATGTCAAAATAATATATTTTTATGGTTGCTTTTTAAAGATTCGTTTAGAAGCTAGTATTTCTTTCTGTCTATAAATGTAAGGAATTGGGTTATTCTTATAAGGGAAAGGAAAAAAAAAAGGAAATAACCAACCAAAGAAGGCAATGTCCAAAAATAGATCTAGGGTGGTTTTCAGAGCTAAAGGGAGTACCAGACTATTCCAATAGCAATTTAGGGCAGAGAGGAGGAAGTGTTAGGATTAAGGGAAATGCGATTGGTAAGTATATAAGAAACTGTTATGAATTTGTAAAAAATAGTGATATTAAATGGTGGAGGAGAAGCTGAAAATATATGGATCTGTGGTCCATGTTTTACAGAGGAAAACACATAATATATGGCAGGTTTATGTTTATATGCTTTTTGAAATCGAATAACACTGATATACAGGGGCTGCTGTGCAGTATCAGATGTCTTTTTGGCAATGAAAGTCAGTTGAGAATCCTGGCAGAACAATGGCATTCGTTGTGCAGATGTCCATTAGGAAAAATCAGTCTGTTTTGTGCTGTAGAAATGCTAAAATTGGCAATATTTATCATTTTTTTGAAGTTTAATTTTTTGGAGCTATGTGGAGAGAGATCTGCAAGATGAAGAGAAGTAGGGACAGTTCAGGAATGCCCAGTGCTGTCCCACGAAAGACGTCTCTAACTGAGTTGGAGTTGGCCTGGCTCGGGTCTGGTTTGCAGTTTCCTGGAGCTTCACTCCTTGCCCTTTGGCCTAGCTTGTTGCTCTCCCCAACAGTGTCACATTCAGGGTGGATTAGCTGAGATGGGCCTGTGCAGGACTGCTCTTCTCTTGTCTTTGGGTTTAAGCTGTTAGTGTTGATTGAGTAATATAACAAGATTTTTGTCAAATATGTACATCATTTACAGAACATATACCATAAGCTGGATTTAATTCTTGCTACCTGAAAAAAAAAATCTGCCTTTTCCTTAATTCTGCTTAAATTTGAAACATTTTCATAGAATTAATTTTTTAAGAGAAAAATTGAATTATCTAAAATACAATGGCGTAGTCTAATTAGCTCTGTGTTTTAAATGTGTTTTTGCTAATTGTGTAGAAGGGTAAGATGCAGTTTTCAAGTTTTCACATGGGGTGATAGTCATTTGTCTAATTTGATAATCTCTCACTGTTACCACATGCTTTTTTCTGGAGAGACCTTTAGGTTTGAGTGAATTGTACTGACACATCTATTCACATGACTATCCACTTGAGCTTTGGAAGGGTGGAGTGTTCTGTGAAAGATTTTTTGGTAAATTGGTCTTGTTAGGGAGCCAAACTGCTGAGCACTAATTAAGATTCTCCCCACTTAATTCTTATGTAGAAATCAAGAGTTAGGATTATAGACTTAACAGAATTGTTTAGTGGAATATCTTTGAAGCATTTTTAGCTTCATGTTTGAATTTTGATTTGCCATGTGTTATAATTGCCCACTTTCAAAACTTTTTTTTAAGATTTATTTATTTTTCATTGCAAAGTCAGATATACAGAGAGGAGGAGAGACAGAGAGAAAGATCTTCCATCTGATGATTCAAACCCCAAGTGAGCCACAACAGCCGGTGCTGCACCGATCCAAAGCCAGGATCCAGGAACTTCTTCCGGGTCTCCCATGCGGATGCAGGGTCCCAAGGCTTTGGGCCGTCCTGGACTGCTTTCCCAGGCCACAAGCAGGGAGCTGGATGGGAAGTGGAGCTTCTGGGATTAGAACCGGCGCCCATATGGGATGCTGGGCGTTTAAGGCGAGGACTTTAGCCTCTAGGCCACACCGCCGGGCCCAGTTGCCTACTTTCATATCATTTTTGCTTCATGTATAGTTGGTAGCTGCATATCCCTCTTGTAGACTTGCAGAGTAAATTCACCTTTTTTTTTTAAAAGATTTATTTATTTTTATTACAAAGTCAGATATACAGAGATGACGAGAGACAGAGAGGAAGATCTTCCATCCGATGATTCACTCCCCAAGTGAGCTACAACAGCTGGTGCTGCGCCAATCCAAAGCCAGGAACCAGGAACCTCTTCCAAGTCTCCCACACGGGTGCAGGGTCCCAAGGCATTGGGCCGTCCTGGACTGCTTTCTCAGGCCACAAGCAGGGAGCTGGATGGGAGGCAGAGCTTCTGGGATTAGAACTGGCGCCCATATGGGATCCTGGTGCGTTCAGGGCGAGGACTTTAGCTGCTAGGCCATGCCACCAGGCCCCTAAATTCATATTATTAAGAAAAGATTTATTTATTTCAAAGACAGTCACACCTACACACACAGAGAGATTGAGAGAGAGAGATCTTCATCTGTTGGTTCATTCACAAATGGCCACAAAGTCTGTGGCTTGGCTAGGCTGAAGCCAAGAATCTAAGAACTACATTTTGTTTCCCATGTGGCTGGCAGGAACAAGTCAGCATCTGTTGCTGCCCAGGTGCATCAGCAGGGCTCCAGATCAGAAGCGGAGTAGCCAGTCTTGTGTGTGTGTGTGTTCATACACATATGAAAGACAGATTACAGAGAGAGAAGAAAGAGCTCTCTATCCACTATTCAGTCTCCAAATGACAGCCAGAGCTGGTCTAAAGCCAGGAGCTTCTTCTGGGTATCCCATGTGGGTACAGGGGCCCAAGGACTTGAGCCATCCTCTGCTGCTTTTCCAAGTTATTAGGGAACTGGATTAGAAGTAGAGTAGCAGGGACTTCAACCAGTACCCATATGTGATTCTGGTACAACAGACAAAGGCTTAGCTTGCTATGCCACAGTGCCAGGCTGCCGTTACCGGTCTTGAACCAGCACTTTGGTATGGAATGCTGGCTTTCCAGAGGTCAATTTGACTTCCTCTGCCACAGTGCCTGCCCCTGTGTGTGTGTGTGTGTGTGTGTGTTTCTTTTTTTAAGCCCTCCTCTGCTGCCATCCCTGCCCCAAGTGTGTGAGTGTGTGTGTGTGTGTGTGTGTGTGTGTGTGTGTGTGTATGTGTGTATGTTTTAAAGATTTGTTTTCATTGGAAAAGCAGATTTACAGAGAGGGAAAGATCTTCCATCCACTGGTTCACTTCCCAAGTGGCCGCTACAGCTACAGCCTAGCCAAGAGTCAGGAGTCTTCTCTGGAACTCCCATAGGGATGCAGGGTCCCAAGTACTTGAACTATGCTCCACTGCTTTTCCCTGGCCATAAACAAGGAGCTGGGAAGTGGAGTAGCCAGGACATGAACTGGCATCCGTATGGAATG